CCCAGCTAATTTTTTGTAGTTTTAGTAGAGATGGGGTTTCACCATGTTGACCAGGATGGTCTCGATCTCTTGACCTCATGATCCACCTGCCTCGGCCTCCCAAAGTGCTGGGATTACAGGCTTGAGCCACCGCGCCCGGCCTAAAAAATGCTTTTTCAACTATTAAATTTTATTTTACACTTAAAGCTTATTATATGAGGTCATATGAGTAGTCAAATTCATAGAGACAGAAAGAATGGTGGATGCCAGGGGCTGGTGGGAGGAAAGAATGGGGAGTTAATTTTTCATGGGGACAGAGTTTGTTTTGCAAGATGAAGAGTTCTGGAAACGGATGTTGGTGATGGTTGGTATGCAGCACTGAATGTACTCCATGCTACGGAAATGCACACTTGGCCGGGCGTGGTGGCTCAGCCTGTAATTCCAGCACTTTGGAAGTCAGAGGCAGGCAGAGAACCAGATGTCAGGAGTACAAGACTAGCCTGACCAACATGGAGAAACCCTGTCTCTACTAAAAATACAAAATTAACTGGGCATGTTGGCGCTGCCTGTAATCCTAGCTACTTGGGAGGCTGAGGAAGGGGAATCGCTTGAACCCGGAGGCAGAGGTTTCGGTGAGCCGACATTGCGCCATTGCACTCAAGCCTGGGTGACAAGAGCGAAATTCTGTCTCAAAAAGAAAAAATAAATGTACACTTAAAAATAGTAAATATTATGGGAGCTACAGTGGCTCAGGCCAGTTGTCCTGGTGCTCGAGGAGGTGAGGCTAGGAGTCCCAGGCCAGCCTGGGCAAGATAAGAACCTGTCATTCACTAAAAAAAAATAGTGAACTTTATGTCTATTTGACCACAATTTTGAGACAAAACCAAACAGTGACAAAACAAAGCCCAAATAGGTTAAATCACTTCCTTATGCTCCTAAACGAGGCAAATTTGGAGGCCAGCCCCGCAGTCTTGCTTGACTGGTGAGATGAACTGGTTATCTCTAAGCAGGAGCAATTTGAGTTCCACCGCACAACTATACAGCACAAGTAGAAACAGGAAGAACACATTCCCTAGGGTTTTTTTTCTTCTTCCTGTTTGTTTGCCAGGCCTCTAACCTGCAGACATCCTTGACAACCATTTATGGTTATATAAGCGATGAGAAAGCAAGGCAAACCCTTCCCACCAGCTCTCTGACTCCGCTCTTTCTCTTGGGGGGAAACAACTTTGCTGACCCTCACTCATGCTCTCAGACAGTTGCTCAGGGCTGGATTAAGTCACAGTCAAGGTAGTGACCTTCAGAAGGGGGAGGGGAGAAAGGAAGGCGGAGGAGCAGGCGCTGATCCACCCCCACCCGCCCCAGCACCCGCCCAGCACCCGCCCAGCACCCGCCCAGCACCCGGGCCCTTTGTGAGCTCAGCCCATCACATGCTTCCACCCGCCTGCCAATCCCGCCCTGTTGCTGGGCCTCTGTCCCTTCTCCATTGGTGCCAGCTCTGAAGCAATCTTTTCTGGGGCGCCTGCAAAGGACGGATCTGTGGGTGGAACGAACTGAAAACGGATCCAGTGACTCATCCTATTCTCGCACATTCTAGCACGTCGCATTCTAGGTCAGCAGGGTTTAGGTTTTAAGAGCGTGACTTGATACCTGGCTCCTGAGTCCAAGTGGGACATTTAGGCTTCGGGGGCCTTTCGGAAAACACGAAGGTAGTTGCTGCAGCAACAAAAGCCCTTTCTAGGGCAGGGCTTCTTAATTTCAGTAACGTTTTGGGTCGGATAATTCTTTGTTGTGGGGGACTGTCCCTCACAGAACGTTCAGCGGCATCCCTGGTGTCTATCACGAGTGCTAGTGTTAACAGCAGCACCCCCAGTACCCACTGAGTTGTGACATCCAAGAATATATCCAGATATTGCCAAATGTCCCCTGAGGGGCATATCACTCCTTGTTGAGAACAATTTTTCTAGAGAAACACTGGACACCTGTGTTTTGGGAGGCCATTTTCTTCTCCCTTCCCTGTCACCTCGTCGACCTTGGAGAAAGGTTTATTTCTGCTTTAATAGCCATTCAAGTCAGAATGCTGGGGTGTGTTCAGTGTTTTTTTCTGCTTGAGACAACTTTGGCTTCTCTTGGTAGCTAACGTTTGGCCCCTTCCCCATCCTCCCCTCAACCTCTTCTTACGTCTTCCTCATGTCCTCCTCTCTCTCCCCTGCCTCTGCAGTCAGAGTTGTTTTTCTCTGTACCTTTTGGACTCTGAAAAATGCTATGTCACAAAGCTGGTGACTCAGCCTTTAAACAACATGAATCACAAGGCTTGCAGCAGGGTAACAGCCAAAAGCAAACAGGGCGTGGTTGAAAGCCAGGCCTGGTCACCTCAGAAAGAATCTCAGAATCTCAGCTTTTTTAATTCCTTTCAAACCTCCTTCCCGAAACCTAGGGGAACAACAAAAAACAAAACCTTTGCAGAAATGTGTACTGGAAATCACTGGAGTATCCTGCCAAGCCTGGAAAATGACACTTTTATCATTTAATTTCCCAGCAACACAGGAATTCATTCTCTTTAAAATGTTAAAAATTAGAGATGTCAAAGTCTATTTGAACAATGCACAGAACTCGCATTTTCATAAATACAAACATGTTACCACAGAAAAGATATAGCAGGTTCGTTTTGCTTTGATGCATATTTTAAGTGATGTTTAAATAACATAATGTTCACAATTTAGGAATCTAGCCTTTTCTGGCCGGGCGTGGTGGCTCATGCCTGTAATCCAAGCACTTTGGAGGCCAAGGTGGGCGGCTCACCTGAGGTCGGGAGTTCAAGACCCCTGACCAACATGGTGAAACCCCGTCTTTTAAAAAAATAAATAAAAAAGAATCTAGCCTTTTCCTAATGGGAAAACATTTTCAGGTAGTAGCCTTTTTTTCTTTTTTTTGAAAGCTACAAGGGAGAAATCAAAGTAGCCTCTCTACCTCCAATACACTGTAGAAACAGGGACTATTTCTAGAAGAGTCCAGAAAGAACAGTGGCTGGGAAATTGAGGGCATGTGGGGGACTTTTCATGGCACACTTAAAAAAGATCTGTTTAAAAAATCTCACCATGTTCTTATATTTTAAAACATTTTAAAAATATGCCGAAGAAATGACACACAAGGATCACAAAATAGGTTGTGGTAAAAATTTAAAAACCTGTCTGGTGATTCTTTTCTCCCACTTCTTTTATCAAAATAGATTTGCCCTGTACGATTACATTTCATATTTGACATACTCACTTTTCTTCTCCCCCCTGCCCCGGAATAGGGCTGGGATTTTATTCCCGTCTTTTATTATTTATTTATTCATTTATTTTTATAGAGACGGGGTTTCACCATGTTGGTCAAGCTGGTCTTGAACTCCTGACCTCAGGTGATCCACCTGCCTCGGCCTCTCCAAGTGCCGGGATTACAGGCTTGAGCCACCTCGCCCGGCCTTCCTGTCTTTTAAAATCTCCGGATTAAAAATGGGTCTGAAGGCCTGGCGCGGTGGCTCAAGCCTGTAATCCCAGCACTTTGGGAGGCCGAGGCGGGTGGATCACGAGGTCAAGAGATCGAGACCATCCTGGTCAACATGGTGAAACCCCGTCTCTACTAAAAATACAAAACATTAGCTGGGCATGGTGGCGCGTGCCTGTAATCCCAGCGACTCAGGAGGCTGAGGCAGGAGAATTGCCTGAACCCAGGAGGCGGAGGTTGCGGTGAGCCGAGATCGCGCCATTGCACTCCAGCCTGGGTAACATGAGTGAAACTCCGTCTCAAAAAAAAAAAAAAAAACCTAAATTATAATTATTATTTTATTTTGAGATGGAGTCTCACTCTGTCACCAGGCTGGAGTGCTGAGGCACAATCTCGGCTCACTGCAAGCTCCGCCTCCCAGGTTCAAATGATTCTCCTGCCTCAGCCTCTCTAGTAGCTGGGACTATAGGCATGTACCACCATGCCCAGCTCATTTTTGTATTTCTCTTTTTTTTTTGAGACGGAGTTTCACTCTTGTTACCCAGACTGGAGTGCAATGACACGATCTCGGCTCACCGCAACCTCCACCTCCTGGGTTCAAGCAATTCTCCTGCCTCAGCCTCCCGAGTAGCTGGGACCACAGGCGTGCACCACGATGCCCAGCTAATTTTTGTATTTTTAGTAGAGATGGGGTTTCACCTTGACCAGGACGGTCTCGATCTCTTGACCTTATGATCCACCTGCCTCGGCCTCCCAAAGTGCTGGGATTATAGGCGTGAGCCACCACGCCCGGCCCATTTTTGTATTTTCAATAGAGATGGGGTTTTACCATGTTGGTCAAGCTGGTCTTGAACTCCTGACCTCAGGTGATCCACCTGCCTCGGCCTCTCCAAGTGCCGGGATTACAGGCTTGAGCCACCTCGCCCGGCCTTCCTGTCTTTCAAAATCTCCGGATTAAAAATGGGTCCGAAGGCCTGGCGCGGTGGCTCAAGCCTGTTATCCCAGCACTTTGGGAGGCAAAGACGGGTGGATCACGAGGTCAAGAGATCGAGACCATCCTGGTCAACATGGTGAAACCCCGTCTCTACTAAAAATACAAAAAACATTAGCTGGGCATGGTGGCGCGTGCCTGTAATCCTGGCTACTCAGGAGGCTGAGGCAGGAGAATTGCCTGAACCCAGGAGGCGGAGGTTGCGGTGAGCCGAGATCGCGCCATTGCACTCCAGCCTGGGCAACAAGAGCGAAACTCCGTCTCAAAAAAATAAAAAGTAAAAAAAATAAAATAAAAAAAATAAAAATGGGTCCGATTATTGAATGGATCCTGATTGCAATAATCGTACCCATTAAAACCCGAGAAATTTCCAAGCCTCCCTGTTGCCACCAAATAGTCCCTTTCCATACCCGGCCCTCAGAATGTGCAGGAAGGTGAAAGAACAGTCTAGAAAGATGTTCGCTCAGCCCTGGGTGCCAGCTCAGAGAGTTTTAAAAAGCTGTGTGGGGTTTCCGCCTCTCTTTTCTAAATTTAACCTGGACACCCAGTTCCTCTGCAGTGTCTCCCCTGGAAAGTTCTCGAGCGTTCCCTAGCTTTGGGGCCGCGCCCGCCCAGAGATCTGCCGAGTCATGGTCCTTGTCCCGCGGCCCGCAGCGGGGGATGGGGGCGGCCCCAGGGAGCCCCCGCGACGAGGCTGGGACTGAGGAAGGTTGAGGGGGGCTGAGCAAAGAAGCCCAGTCATCATCTCAAATGTGACCCAAAATAAAGACCCGTCCATCCCGCGGGGTGGGCTAGGGTAGGTCGCGCCGGAGGGCAGGCGCTCAGTTCGCGCCCCAAGTCCACCGAACACGAGTTGGCGACCCGAGGCGACCGCGGGGGCTGAGGGGAAGGGGTGCAGGGCCGCAGCTCAGGAACGCGGGCCGCCCACCGGCTCCAGGTGCTGCGGCTCCGCGCCGGGTTTTGGCGCCTCCCGTCGGCGCCCCCCCCCCCCCCACCAACGGCGAGCGCCGCTACGTCACTATCACAGTGCGCAGCCAGAGCCTTGATCCCTCCGCCCGGCCTCTCAGGACGGCGGCCTGCTGCCCACCAGACTCGGCCCAGAACCCCAGTCTCAGCAGGAGGACATTTTAGGACGGGACCTGGGTGACGCTAGGTAACTGGTTTTCTTTCCAGAGAGCAGAACAAGCGGGGAAAAGTAGTCCCTTCTCGGCGATTCTGCGGAGGGATCTCCTCGGGGCGGTGAACGCCGATGTCTATATAAGGACGCGCCGGGTGTGGTGCAGCTAGTTCCGTCGCAGCCGCGAGTGCAGCCGTTCCTGTTTTTCGTCAGTTGCTGTCATCTCCGCTTGGTGAGCAGTGGGGTTCTGAGCGGGCTGGGGCTTTCGTGGCCATTTGGCCTCGACGTGGGATGGAGGTGGGTCGCGGTCGCGGGTCGAGAGACTGCGGAGGGCTGTTGACTGTGTCCGCGAGAAAGGTGGCCCTGAGGTGGGGGGAGCGCAGCAAAATGGCGGCTGTTTTGAGCGCCGAGTGGAGGACGCCTGTGAGGTGGGCTGTGAGGTGGTTGAAACAAGGTCGGGGGGCATGGACCCAAGGCCTTGAGGCCTTCCCTAATGCGGGAAAGCTCTGATTCTGGTGGGATGGGCTAGGGCACCGTTTGGGGATCCTGAAGTGAAGTTTGTGATTGACTGGAGAAGTCGCCTTGTCCGTTGCGGAGATGGCAGTTACGGCACTGCCGCGCGGCAGTGCACCCGCACTGGGGGGAGAGCGCGCCTTCGCTCTGTGGTGACGTCACCCGTTTTGTCGGCTCATAATGCAGGGTGGGGCCACCTGCCGGTAGGTGTGCGGTAGGCTCTTCTCTGGCGCAGGACGCAGGGTTCGGGCCTAGGGTAGGACCTCCCGAATCGACAGGTGCCGGACCCCTGGAGAGGGAAGGATAAGCGATCCGTCAGCGTCTTTGGTCAGGTTTATGTACCTACCGTCCTCAGTAGTTGAAGTCTGGGTTTTGAAAACTGGGGCTGGCGAGTGTTTTGTGAAGTAAGGCAGGTTTTAAATTGTAATTATTTGGGTCAATGTGACATATAACTTACAGCATTAGGAAAGCTAATACATTGCTAAATTCTGGTGGTTTTTGGCTTTTTTGTTAAAACAGACAATGCAGATCTTCGTGAAGACACTGACCGGCAAGACCATCACCCTCGAGGTGGAGCCCAGTGA